AAGAATGTAAGAAACATGCCTTTTATGTCTATATATGTATTTCTTCTTGTGAAAATTATGCATATTAATGTCTCTTTTTTTTTCCTTTAGGGTACAAAAAAAATCCAAGGTCTTGTCCTGGATATGCGTAACCATCCAACAAACAGTCCAATAAACACAAATGAGATAGTCTTGGAAACCAATGCATTTGCAAGGATGTGCAATTTACAACTACTCCATCTTAGTCATGTACGACTGGATGGATGTTATGCAGATTTCCCTACAGGATTAAGATGGTTGTGTTGGCTTGAATTTCCTTTGGATTCTATACCAATTGATTTTCCTTTGGAGAACGTAATTGTTCTTGAAATGCAATACAGTAGCTTGAGACAAGTATGCAAAGGAACAAAAGTATGTTACTCTATGCATTTCAATTCATTTTCCTTATTTTGTTAGTTTTTTATTTGTCGACCAACTCCATGTGTTAAAATGAACTACTATGTTTTCTTTAATTCGATGACTAATTTGTTATATTAGATACTTATTTCATTCTTCTTTTTTTTTTCTTTTTTTTCCCTCTGTTTCCACAGTTTCTTCCATCATTGAAGATCCTTGACGTCAGCCATTCTCATGGCCTTAGTGAAACCATTGACTTCTCACTTTTCCCCAATCTAGAGGAACTGATTCTTGTAGATTGCACAAGCTTGAAGAATGTTCATGAATCCATTGGAAACCTGGAGAGACTCGTGTACTTGAATATGAAGGATTGCAAGAATCTTAGGATGTTTCCGAAGAACATGTGTATGCTTAAATCACTTGAAACCCTCATTTTATCTGGTTGCTCAAATCTTGATGAGTTTCCAGTGGAGATGATGAAGAAGATGGAGTCTCTGAAAGTTCTTGAGACAGATGGAATTCCAATAAGTGAATTGTGGCAAGAAAGAAGTTCAACTATCTTGAGTTCTTTTCCATGCTTTTTAGTAGAGTTAAGTCTGAAGGGGTGCAATCTTTCTGATGATGTCCTTCCTACGGATTTAAGTAATCTATCCCTCTTGCGAAAACTACATTTAGATGAGAATCCAATTTGCAGTCTGCCAGTTTTCATTAAAGGTTTGAAAAGGCTCGATGAACTCTCTTTCAAGGGTTGTGATAGGCTCGAATCGCTTGTGGGGTTGCCGGAAGTACACCAAATTATAATTGTAGCCGAATGCATATCATTAAAAAAAATAACATCTCATTCCCCTAAGGAATTGTGTTCAATATGTACGGATCAGAACTTGAATCTTTTTGAGTGCTCATGGTGTTACAAAATAGAGCTTATTGATACAGTTGATGTGGAAATGATCAAACTTTTGGGCTTGTGCAACTTGGAATCCATGCCAGCTGTTCGAATGCATTATCCAAAAGAGTTCCAACAGGAACTTGAAACTTTCAGAGAGGTCCCAGTCCAGGTGCGCCTCTCTTTCTCTCTCTCTCTCTCTCTCTTAAGTCTTAAATATATAAAATGGGAAAGAAATGACTGACTAATGTTGTGATGACTATGGCAAATACATAGGGACTGTATCATCATGGTATATTCAGCACCTTTTTTGTTGGGAATGATGTTTCAGGCCGGTTCAGCTTTAAAAGTACCAAGTCATCGATATCTTTTATTGTCCCTTTACTACATGCTAGTCACAGAATTCGAGGCTTGAACATCTTTGCTACCTATGCAAAGGAAAATTGGAATTTTCTTAATGATTCTAGTATGGCTCCAATAACTATCAAAGTGAGAAACAAGCAAGGGTCTGGAGTGGATCTACAGCCCATTATTCCATGGTGTCCCAGGTCGTGGAGAAGATATGATATGGTTGAGCCATTGGAAGATGGAGAATAAAACAATATTTCAATGTGGAGATGAAGTGGTGGTTTGGGTAATAATCGAACCACGTGACTTTTGGGTAAAGGAGTTTGGTGTCGAGCTTGTGCAAGAGCACCAAGACAAGATGAGTACCCAACACAACACCAAATCAGATTATCCATTTATTATCGGTGGATATTCGCGGAATTGGACGAGCAGACGGAGAATATACTTCCATGGCAATTATAGCGCAGATGATATTGACGAGATTGATATGCTCACCATGGACTCTGATGAAGAAGACACAAGTATGTTGTGTTGTTGTATTGCATTGAATTATACTCCATCCAAACACTTCCAGGTGTGTTCGTATTCATTTCAAAAAGTTTCCAATAAATTTTATGTTATTTGTATGTTTTTCAGACAAAGAAGGGCAAGAAGATGAACCTGATTACATAGTTGCAAAGACGAGGGCTGCTAGCAATAACTGCAGCCTGAGAGGCTGGAAGGTGCGCCTTATAGCTGTCGGCTTCTTTTTCGCACTTGCTCTAGTAGGTTGGTCCTCCATCTCCCAAAAAAAGAAGCGACACATGTCCACAAGCCCACCATGAGTTTGTAATTTGACTTGATATAGATATGTCTTTGCATTCCTTGCTGTCAAGATGTTTTCTACCTTCAAAATTTCAGGTTCAGAGCTAAGTACTCTTAACCGTTTGAGATATAAAAATCCCTTGCAACTAGATACCGAAGTTCAAATGTGTTCAACGCCATCAAATATAGCATAAAATGCATCCAGCATTAGCGATACTAGCAGAGTAGCAGTAAATAAGTAAAACAAAAAAAATGCTTCTACACATGGTAAGGGAAGGACTTTGACATAGGTATTTTTTTTTTGGGGGGGGGGGTGGGTGGGGATTATGTCGGCACAGGGGAAAACAAAAACATCCTATCTGCTTATAAATAACAAAGTTACAAATCTTAATTGTCGTTTACAACAAAATCATTCTTAAAGACTCGGCTCCCCATTGAAATTGTGTAAATTGCATAAATATCAATACAACAGATATTAGACAGAATAATATATATCAAATAAATTAACAACAGGCAATTTCTTAGCCTGAGATCCAAGGACTTTACAACTGGTTCAGCCTTGCATCGCTACTAAACTACAGAATCAATCTAAGCAAGCACATTGGCTCCAGTCAATTGATTTAAAAGAGTACTCTTGCCAGCATTGGTGTACCCAACCTTGTTTCTCAGCCCAACATGCACAAAATCAACACCGTGTAGAAAACTAAAAACCACCACCAAATAAATGTGAATTCGACAACGTCAACGTATTTACTTACCAAAGATACTATAGGTACCGAAAGGTGGTGATTACGATACTGCTTTCTATGCTTTCGGACAGATTCTAACTCCTTGACAACACGATCTAGTATTACAGACATTTTTACTGTCAAATCAATTTCCAGACAAAAATCTACGGTTGTCAAGGAAGTATAGGAGGAACGGCCATAGTCTTTGGAGCCATGAAATTTACTGTCTTCTCATGAACATTGTACCTCCAAAAGCATGATGCAATAAGCATTCAATAATCTGACCTAGTTTGCTCAACAGATGCTCCAAGATATTCCAAAACAAAGTCATAGCATTTTCACATAGGGAACCGAAGAATCTATTGATACCTTATCTTGCAACTCTTAAGAGGCTCTTCTGTCAACAATCTTCCTCTTCTAAGCATGCAACTTTTTAAAGAATAAAAGGTTTGTCTCTGCGAATAATCAAGTTCCAAGCCCACTATTGAAAATCATGTTCATCCACTCTACACTTCCAAAGCAGCAAACTAACAATTTCAAAAGCTTTAAATGCAATCTGAATACATGGCAAGTAGGGGTAAACATGTGAACAGAAAAATCAGTGAACATAATCAAATCGAATAAGTCAATTTTGGCCGAGATTGAAATGAAAAAAACAAGGAAATGCTTTGTCTATCGATTTGTTTATGAAAATGGCTATTCTACAAGATACAGCATGACAGGTCTTAGCTAGAACAAGTAACCGGCATGGAAATGCTTTATGAAGCAAGAATATGAACTCAAGAGCTTTGTGCCAGAGAGACTTCAGAAAAATGAAAAAAAAAAATATAAAATATGGGTAAGAATAAACATCGATCAGACAATAATTCACGTATAAATCATTTTTTCAACTTTAAAGTGGTGGCTTAAAAAGAAGCTTTAAACAAGTAGCAATAATTTCATATTGAAAAATAAAACCTATTTCATGGATATTACAAGAGCATTTATTTTGAAAAACACACCTTTTGGTTCTTCGCTGCCTGACTTTTAAGAAGATCTTTGTCCTTGTGACGATTCAGATTCTTTAAAATATCTTTGCAACGGAATAAACAAAACCAATCTAGGCCAAAATTGACTTATTCGATTTGATTATGTTTACTGATTTTTCTGTTCACATGTTTACCCCTACTTGCCATGTAGTTTTCGGGGTGTTAGAGCATAGTGCTCTTCTCTTAACACACAAGTTTTGATTTTATTCTTCGTAAATTAAGAGACCGTTTGATAATCATTTCGTTTTCAGTTTAAAAAATATAAAAAACTAAATGGAGTTTTCAAAATTTGGCCTAGAATTTTCGCTTTTGATTTTTAATTTTAATTTTTTTTAAAACAACTGAAAACTAAAAATAATTACAAAAGGAAATTTTCAGTTTTAAATTTTCCAAAAAGTAAAAACTGAAAACTCTAAACTATAGACTAAAAATTAAAAAGTGAAATCGAAATGGGCTTTCAACGAAATTGAAAAAAGACTGGGCTGAATTAGTGAATTCAAAGCAGGGCTTATTAACTCTACGAGGCCCAATGGATCCGCATAAATATTTATCGATATTTTTACGCTACGAGACTCAATGGATCTGTATAAATATTTTTTTTTTTTACAAACGATATTATTTATATGGGCTTAACCTTAAAATGAGCTAACAATAATGTGGTTCAAATTTGCTTTTGACGAGAATCGAACATAAAACTTCTTACTTACAAATGAAAAGAAATACCACTAAATCGTAGTCTGAGTGGCTCGTTATTTTATTTTATATTTTAATAAAAAAGAAAGAAAGCAATGAAAAGCTGTACATAAACTAAATACAAAAAGGAATGAAATGAAGAAGAGTGGGAGACGAACGTTTAATTCAAGATAAAGAAAGAAAGGTAATCGCACCACGACGGCGGCGACGTGGCGGTCATTTAACGGAAAATAACAGACAAATCAGCCTCCAGATCAAGTCTTGAAGCACAACTCTGAAAAATCGAGACTACCTACAGCTGAGCTCCGACCAACCGTTGATGGATGCAATCCGGAAGCTCAGAGATCAGGTCGCCAAGCAACAGCAGGTACTCTCTCTCTTGTTTGATTCCGAATTTGTATTTCTGTATGGATTTTGATACGAGCATAATCTGCGTTGATTGCGAGATACTAAGATTGCTTAATGAAATGATATTTATATAATTGTTCGAATTGCATTGGATCGATTCGAGTAGAATTTCACTATTTCTGAGCTGTTTGGGGCTGTGTTAGAGTGCAATGTTGCTGAATTTCTGAAATTTTGAGCTAGGTGTTGCTGATTACTTATCGATTTTCGGATTTAATTGGATGCTTAATTTACATTTTCGGAAAACTTCAAGCGAAAATGGCATATAATTCAACGTTCTATGCCTCATTAATGCATAAGAGTTAGTCGAAGCTTGATCGAGTTTGCTTTTGATTATTTTGTGAACACCGTCAGGCTGTGTTCAAACAATTTTCTGGTGGCATATATGGGGGATCGGATAATGTTGCCTCGGATGAAAATGAATTTCAACAGCATCAGAAACTCGAGAAGCTGTACATATCAACTCGTGCTGCCAAGGTTGCTACGCTTATTTTTGTCTGTGCTTTAAACGAGCATCACGTTAGTTGTGTTACCTATCGTTTTTTGCTTCTTCTTTAACAGCATTACCAAAAGGAAATTGTCCGCGGAGTGGAAGGTTACATTGTGGCCGGTTCAAAGCACGTTGAAATAGGTATGTTGCTTGAAATGTGTTGTCTTTTCTTGGGAGTTTGGATATGAATTCATGTTGGTTTTATCAGTTGGTATACATGATACTTTTTCAACAGGTACCAGGCTATCAGAAGATAGCAGGAAATATGGTTCTGAAAAGACTTGCACCAGTGGTAACACATTGTCCAGAGCTGCACTGAGTTTTGGAAGAGCTCGGGCCCAAATGGAAAAAGAGTGTGGAGTTCTACTTAAAGCTCTTGGCACACAGGTTTAAGTCAAATTATTACTAACAAAGCTCAACAACAACAACAACAACAACAACAACAAAGCCTTTTCTCACTAAGTGGGGTCGGCTATATGAATCCTAGAACGCCATTGCGCTCGGTTTTGTGTCATGTCCTCCGTTAGATCCAACTACTCTAAGTCTTTTAGGTCTTCCTCTACCCCTTCGGCCCTGAACCTCTGTCCTATAGTCACATCTTCGAACCAGAGCGTCAGTAGGCCTTCTTTGCACATGTCCAAATCACCGGAACCGATTTTCTCTCATCTTTCCTTCAATTTTGGCTACTCCTACTTTACCTCAGATATCCTCATTCCCAATCTTATCCTTTCTCGTGTGCCCACACATCCAACGAAGCATCCTCATCTCCGCCACACCCATTTTGTGTACGTGTTGATGCTTCACCGCCCAACATTCTGTGCCATACAACATCGCTGGCCTTATTGCCGTCCTATAAAATTTTCCCTTGAGCTTCAGTGACCTATGACGGTCACACAACACGCCGGATGCACTCTTACACTTCATCCATCCAGCTTGTATTCTATAGTTGAGATATCCATCTAATTCTCCGTTCTCTTGCACGATAGATCCTAGGTAGCGAAAACGGTCGCTTTTTGTGATCTTCGCTAGATTGCTCCGGTCATTAGTGTGGATAAGTATATAAATGGATAGAGACAGGAAAGCAAACACAAGATGTACGTGGTTCACCCAGATTGGCTACGTCCACGGAATAGAGAAGTTCTCATTAATTGTGAAGGGTTTACACAAGTACATAGGTTCAAGCTCTCCTTTAGTGAGTACAAGTGAATGATTTAGTACAAATGACATTAGGAAATATTGTGGGAGAATGATCTCGTAATCACGAAACTTCTAAGTATCGGAGTGCGGTATCGTCTTGACTTGCCTTATCTGTCTCATAGGTAGATGTGGCATCTTCTTTGGAAGTACTCTTCCTCCATTAGGGGTGGTATCTTTAACTGGTGGAGATGCACAAGGTAATGTATCAATTTCACTTGAAGCTTACTTGTAGTTTCAGGCTTGGTCAAGCGCGATACAAACCATGTAGTAGGAGTCCCCCAAGTCGCCGAGCTAGAGGATCTGCTGAAAGAGGTGACAGACAAGGTAAGCAATCAGAGCTCCGGCTGATTGTTCACATTCTCCCTATCTTGCAGGCAGCATGAAGGATAAAGAGAAGAACATGAGAAGAGATGATATGGGATACTTTTGCTTTTGAAGAAGTAACTTTCCACAGGCTTATTCTTGAACTGAGCTGGAGGGTTTTCTGGTTTCCTCCAGAGTATAAGGCCGACTGAAGAATTTGAGGGTCAAAACAAGTCCATCAAATCTAGAGTACGTTCGACCCTGCTGATATGGGATACTTTTGCTTTGACAGAGTAATGGATGTATCGGCACGTGTGCTGTTTCGCTTGTCTCCACATGCTTCCTTGTATCCTTCTCCCTTGCCCTATCTGTTCCTCAGGCAGAGATGCGGTATCTTCCCTGGAAGCATAAGATGTTGAAGATGAGTACTTGAGAGCAATGGCAGGTAAGTAATCAGGTAAGGGGTTCCAGGCAGTCAGTTCCTGGCTGGAAGCTTGATTCCAAGTGCTGACTGATTGCTCTCTTTCTCCTTGTCTTGCAGATAAGAACAAGGCCAAAGGAAAAGACAGGGAAAAAAGCATGATATGGAGATACTCTTGCTTTTAACCCTGATGATATGAGATATTCTTGCTCTAGTATAGCTTGTTTGCAGAGGATATTATCGGGGGGAAAGAAAGCTGAATATTTCGAAAGGCTTCGTTGGGAGTGCCCTCTCAGATATGAGGAAGGGTTGAGCATTTTTGCAGGTCTGCCTGTCCGTTGGGAATGGAGGTCGACATATATAGGAATCTCCTTAACAACAAGTAGTAATGCTATTCCTTTACCCTACTTGGTCATAGCACGGTAGTGGGAGCTGCCAGCTTCACATGTTTTAACTCTGTCAGAGCACTTTGAAAAAGTGGTCTGTGGTATCTGGAAATGTGATGTTGCGTGTGAAGATTACAGACAGCTTTATCCAAGGAGATCCGGCTCTTGAAGTTGGGAAAGTGTTGCCTCTTCGGTTTTCGAACAAGCAATCCTATCGGGGATCTGGCTCTCGAGATTCGGAGAACGATGCCTCTTCGATTTTTGAGAAAGCAATCATGCTGGGGGTCTGGCTCTCGAGATTTGGAGAGCGGTGTCTCTTCGATTTTTGAGAAAGTAATCATGTTGGGAGTCTGGCTCTCGAGATTCGGAGGGCGGTGCCTCTTCGATTTTGGAGCAAGCAAACTTGTTGGGAGTGTTTTCTCGAATGTGAGTAAAGGTTGGGCATGTTTGCTAGTCTACCTTGCCACGAAGCACAGAGGTTGACACATAGGGACTTTCCAATTATCCAGCAATGGTACTGTTCCTTTACCCTCTCTTCGATTTTTGAGAAAGTAGTCATGTTGGGAGTCTGGCTCTCGAGATTCGGAAGGACGGTGCCTCTTCGATTTTGGAGCAAGCAATCTTGTTGGGAGTGTTTTCTCGAATGTGAGTAAAGGTTGGGCATGTTTGCTAGTCTACCTTGCCACGAAGCACAGAGGTTGACACACAGGGACTTTCCAATTATCCAGCAGTGGTACTGTTCCTTTACCCTTGTGGGTAATAATATGGTAGCTAGACCTTCAAAATTTATGTGTCTAAACTTTGTTAGTGCTGTTTCTTTGCTATTGTTTTTACCCTTCTTGGTCAGAGCGATGTAGTGGGAGCTGCAAGCTTCACGTGCTCAACTTTGGCAGAGAACTTTGGCAAAGTTATCTGTGGTACCCATGAGCTACTGTTGCGTGTGGGAAGTGGGTGATTGAACAGTAAGATTCATGTGCTTTCTACTTCACCAGAAGTCTTCGACAGAATGCCCATAATTTCCGCAAAGCTGAGTGTGCGTGTGACAGGTGCTGACAAGGCTGGAAAAGTAGGTGCCTCTTCGATTTCTGAGATCGGCCCTCGTGGTCTCTGAGCAGCCCAGCTTTTGAGAAAGCAAGCGCCTCTTCGATTTCTGAGATCGGCCTTCGTGGTCTTTGAGCAACCCAGCTTTTGAGAAAGCAAACGCCTCTTCGATTTCTGAGATCGACCCTCGTGGTCTCTGAGCAGCCCAGCTTTTGAGAAAGCAAACGCCTCTTCGATTTCTGAGCAGGCGCCTTCTTCGATTTCTGAAGCTCCGTCGAGTGCAGATTTTTATAGGGGCTGGCATTAAGTTCCAAAGCACACTTGAATCTCCACCAGTAGAAGCTCCATTCTTGCACTTCTAAGATCTTGATTTGTCCGACCTCTTCTCTCTTCAACACCTTTGAAAATGTCTGGCCCCTCCGACCGTCGTTTTTGACTTGAACCTTGTTGAAGAGGCAGCCACGCCTTCTCCAGACAACATATGGCGCCCATCATTCGTCTCCCCTACTGGTCCTCTTACCGTTGGGGATTCCGTGATGAAGAATGATATGACCGCTGCGGTGGTGGCCAGGAACCTTCTCACTCCCAAAGATAACAGACTACTTTCCAAACGGTCTGATGAGTTAGCTGTTAAGGATTCTCTGGCTCTCAGTGTTCAGTGTGCAGGTTCTGTGTGTCTAATATGGCCCAACGCCTATTTGCTCGAACCCGCCAAGTTGAATCATTGGCGGCTGAAGTGATGAGTCTCAAACAGGAGATTAGAGGGCTCAAGCATGAGAATAAACAGTTGCACCGGCTCGCACATGACTATGCTACAAACATGAAGAGGAAGCTTGACCAGATGAAGGAATCTGATGGTCAGGTTTTACTTGATCATCAGAGATTTGTGGGTTTGTTCCAAAGGCATTTATTGCCTTCGTCTTCTGGGGCTGTACCGCGTAATGAAGCTCCAAATGATCAACCTCTGATGCCTCCTCCTTCTAGGGTTCTGTCCAGTACTGAGGCTCCGAATGATCCCCCTCCGGTGCCTTCTCTTTCTGGGGCTCTACCGACTGCTGAGACTTCTCCTAAGCAACCTTTGTGAAGGCTCCCTCTTGTTTGTTTATTTTGACTCATGTATATGTACATATTTGTAGCTTATCGGGGATATCAATAAATAAGCTTTCCTTCATTTCAACGTATTGTGTTAAATACACCAAAGCCTTCTTCGCTAAGTTCTTTGAATTTTCTTTTGTTGAAGCTTTGTGAGTGGAGCATGTAGGTTGAGGTAGTGTTCCCTTAATTTTCCGAGTGAGGAAAACTTCTCGGTTGGAGACTTGGAAAATCCAAGTCACTGAGTGGGATCGGCTATATGAATCTTAGAACGCCATTGTGCTCGGTCCTGTGTCATGTCCTTCGTTAGATCCAAGTACTCTAAGTCTTTTCTTAGAGTCTCTTCCAAAGTTTTCCTAGGTCTTCCTCTACCCCTTCGGCCCTGAACCTCTGTCCCATAGTCGCATCTTCTAATCGGAGCGTCAGTAGGCCTTCTTTGCACATGTCCAAACCACCGTAACCGATTTTCTCTCATCTTTCCTTCAATTTCGGCTACTCCTACTTTACCCCGGATATCCTCATTCCTAATCTTATCCTTTCTCGTGTGCCCACACATCCAACGAAGCATCCTCATCTCCGCTACACCCATTTTTGTGTACGTGTTGATGCTTCACCGCCCAACATTCTGTGCCATACAGCATCGCCGGCCTTATTGCCGTCCTATAAAATTTTCCCTTGAGCTTCAGTGGCATACGGCGGTCACACAACACGCCGGATGCACTCTTCCACTTCATCCATCCAGCTTGTATTCTATGGTTGAGATCTCCATCTAATTCTCCGTTCTTTTGCAAGATAGATCCTAGGTAACGAAAACGGTCGCTCTTTGGTATTTCTTGATCTCCGATCCTCACCCCTAACTCGTTTTGGCCTCCATTTGCACTGAACTTGCACTCCATATATTCTGTCTTTGATCGGCTTAGGCGAAGACCTTTAGATTCCAACACTTCTCTCCAAAGGTTAAGCTTTGCATTTACCCCTTCCTGAGTTTCATCTATCAACACTATATCGTCTGCGAAAAGCATACACCAAGGAATATCATCTTGAATATGTCCTGTTAACTCATCCATTACCAACGCAAAAAGGTAAGGACTTAAGGATGAGCCTTGATGTAATCCTACAGTTATGGGAAAGCTTTCGGTTTGTCCTTCATGAGTTCTTACGGCAGTCTTTGCTCCTTCATACATATCCTTTATAGCTTGGATATATATGCTACTCGTACTCCTTTCTTCTCTAAAATCCTCCAAGAATGTCTCTTGGGACCCTATCATACGCTTTTTCCAAATCTATAAAGACCATGTGTAAATCCTTTTTCCCATCTCTATATATCTTTCCATCAATCTTCGTAAGAGATAGATTGCCTCCATGGTTGAGCGCCCTGGCATGAACCCGAATTGGTTGTCCGAAACCCGTGTCTCTTGCCTCAATCTATGCTCAATGACTCTCTCCCAGAGCTTCATTGTATGACTCATTAGCTTAATACCCCTATAGTTCATGCAATTTTGTACGTCGCCCTTATTCTTGTAGATAGGCACCAAAGTGCTCGTTCGCCACTCATTTGGCATCTTCTTCGTTTTCAAAATCCTATTGAAAAGGTCAGTGAGCCATGTTATACCTGTCTCTCCCAAAACTTTCCACACTTCGATTGGTATATATCGTCTGGGCCTATTGCTTTTCTATGCTTCATCTTCTTCAAAGCTACAACCACTTCTTCCTTCCGGATTCGACGATAAAAAGAGTAGTTTCTACACTCTTCTGAGTTACTCAACTCCCCTAAAGAAGCACTCCTTTCATGTCCTTCATTGAAAAGATTATGAAAATAACCTCTCCATCTGTCTTTAACCGCGTTCTCTGTAGCAAGAACCTTTCCATCCTCATCCTTGATGCACCTCACTTGGTTTAGGTCCCTTGTCTTCTTTTCCCTTGCTCTAGCTAGTTTATAGATATCCAACTCTCCTTCTTTGGTATCTAGTCGTTTATACATATCGTCGTAAGCCGCTAACTTAGCTTCTCTCACAGCTTTCTTCGCCTCTTGCTTCGCTTTTCTATACCTTTCACCATTTTCATCGGTCCTATCCTTGTATAAGGCTTTACAACATTCCTTCTTAGCCTTCACCTTTGTTTGTACCTCCTCATTCCACCACCAAGATTCCTTTTGGTGTGGGGCAAAGCCCTTGGACTCTCCTAATACCTCTTTTGCTACTTTTCGGAATACAACTAGCCATGGAATCCCACATTTGGCTAGCTTCCCCCTCTCTATCCCACACACACTGGGTGATTACTTTCTCTTTGAAAATGGACTTGTTTTTTTCTTCTTTTAGATTCCACCATCTAGTCCTTGGGCACTTCCAAGTCTTGTTCTTTTGTCTCACTCTTTTGATATGTACATCCATCACCAACAAGCGATGTTGATTAGCCACGCTCTCTCCTGGTATATAACTTTGCAATCCTTACAAGTTATACGATCCCCTTTCCTCATTAGAAGAAAATCTATTTGTGTTTTTGACGACCCACTCTTGTAGGTGATCACATGTTCTTCTCTCTTCTTAAAGAAGGTGTTGGCTAAGAAAGAGATCATATGCCATTGCAAAATCCAAGATAGCTTCCCCATCCTCGTTTCTCTCCCCAAAACCATGGCCACCATGAAAACCTCCATAGTTGCCTGTCTCCCTGCCCACGTGTCCATTTAAATCTCCTCCTATAAATAACTTCTCCGTCTGAGCAATTCCTTGCACCAAGTCTCCAAGGTCTTCCCAAAATTTCTCCTTCGAACTCGTATCCAACCCTACTTGAGGTGCGTACGCACTAATCACATTGATAAGTTCTTGTCCTATTACAATCTTGATTGCCATGATTCTATCTCCTACCCTCTTGACATCTACAACATCTTGTGTCAAGGTCTTGTCCACGATGATGCCAACACCGTTTCTCGTTCTATTTGTGCCCGAATACCAAAGTTTAAACCCTGAGTTTTCTAGATCCTTTGCCTTACTACCAACCCACTTAGTTTCTTGTAGGCACATAATATTTATCCTTCTCCTCACCATAACTTCCACTACTTCCATAGATTTTCCCGTTAAGGTTCCTATATTCCACGTTCCTAAACGCATTTTGCTCTCTTGAACTCTACCCTTCTGTCCTAACTTCTTCACCCTCCCCCGTTTAATAAGATCAAAGTACTTCTTTTGTGTGTCCCGTGTAAAGTTGATAGGAGCATATGCTCCCAAACAACTTTGAGTGGAGTCGTTCGAAAAGAAGTTTCTATGGCCCCCTTGCTCATTTAACACTGCATCCGGGTGCCGATGGAGATACAGTGACCCTTGCTCACTTATCACTGTGCTCGGGCCACACAGCGCGCCACTTACGGGTGACGCCCTAGCTTTAGCGCGATTTTGTTCTGGATTCATTTTCATAAGGATTCGACGTGATCATGGAGTGCCGGCTGTCGACTACCTGACGTCCTCCCCCTCCTCCTTTATCCGGGCTTGGGACCGGCAATGTAACAAAGCTCATTAAGTAAAATTCAAATATTGCCTGGGCCGGCTTCATACAAATGGAATTTCAACTGACTAATTTTCGTGTGCATTTGATCATTTCGAAAGAAATTTACAGTAAAAATTGTTTCCATTTTCACGTGTGGTTCAAGAACTGGACTACTTTTTGTGTTATTATGCATCATATGACAAACTGGTTCACCGTTTCTTTCTATAGGTTTGCATAATAACTCCTTCTGTGCTTATCAATTTGCCTGTGTAGGTTGCAGAGCCTTTAAGAGCAATGATAGTGGGAGCGCCCTTGGAGGATGCTTGACATCTTGCTCAACAATATGCTAGAATGCGGCAAGAAGCTGAAGCTCAGGTATATGCAGTTTCTTCTGTTTCCTCCCAATTTTATACTACAGTGATTTTACATGTTACGTGGTGATCGTACATTTCTTCGTTTAACTTTTTTTGTTTTCTTTTAAAAGTGTTTGTTCATTTTGAGACAATCATGCATTGGTATTCATAGAGAACGCAAAATCTTAAGATGTTTAATGTAAACTTGTTAAGATTGCTTTATTACTTGAAGCTTTGTTGTAATTTGGTTTTTGGTTTTTTTTTTATTACTCCTTCAGATTTGTCTATATATACTAACTTGCACCGGGATTCTGCAGGTAATGCTGACATTATCATGAAACTAGAAGCTGCTGAAGCCAAGCTTCAGGAGCTGCAGTCTACCGTTGCAATATTGGGAAAAGAAGCTAGTGCAGCTATGGCTGCTGTTGAAGGTCAACAACAAAGATTGACTCTTCAGCAGCTTCTTGCAATGGTAAAGGATTGCCTCCCCTTTTTGTTTAAGTATGAAGACCTTGGCCTGTTCTAGTTACAAGACTGAAAAGGAAATTAATTTTGTAAATTTGTCCTTTTTCATCCCCATTCAAGGTGGAAGCAGAGCGCAACTATCATCGGAACGTTCTTCAGATACTTGATCAGCTTGAAGGCGAGGTATGAAATATCCTAAAGTCTTCCTTTCAGCATGACAATTTCGTATCCCAATTCATTTGGCTCTATATTATTCTATTGTCTTGCTACTAAAAGCAGAGATCATTGACACTATTTGTTGGGACAGATTTTGGCAGAAAAGCAGCAAATTGAAGCATCGCATAGTCCACCTACAGAGGACACTATGCCTCCACTACCATCGTATGAGGATCTCAGCCGTAGCTTTGCTTCTGAAACCTATGATGAATTGACAGAGTTGAGGGACTCTTTCTTTGGAGGGGTATCTTTATGCTAATGTTGTTGTATCCAAGTTTTAGTCTGTTCGACTCTTTAGTTTCTAATAACTGTTTCTTTTCACCTACCGCAGGTTATGTACACCTTCCACGCTGTAACTGATGTGGAGTTAAGTTTGTCATTCGGGGATTACATTGTGGTCCGGAAGGTTCTGTCGTCTTTCCTGCTTGCATGCTTTCATCTTATATTCATGTTCGGATTTATTTCTTTCGTATTGAGGTTAAATTTTCATGTTCAGAGACGTCCACTCAGGTATGTTCGTCAATGCATATGCATTAGCACACCACCGAGTGCATTAGAATATGGATTTCAGTTTTGGATGCTTCATGCATTAATGTAGTTTGTGTGGTTTTGGTTATTGCTGCCGCTGAGCGTGAGTGGCTTTCTGTAGTTGCTGAGAGTTATATTGTGAGCATAATTCATACAGCAGCTTTCATATACGGCACATGTAGTCGGCAGCACTGCATTTAGAAAGAGAGAGTTATATTTTCTTCACTGTTTATTCAAAACTTATATGTTGCATGTTCTGGCTTTTAAAGTGAGTCGGCATCAGAGTTTTTATTTGAGAAAAATCAGTTTTGTGTCCATGTGTTTTCAAAGAAAATATTTTAGTTTTTAATCACTGATTTTTCATTGTGCTTCAATTAGAAATTAATTATGAGAATCTGCCTTGTGATTTTCGTAATTGGTTGATTCAAAAAATCTTTACATTTCATACATTTTGCATGATCTCGTTAGTATCTTGCAAAGTTCAATGACACAGTGATTGACGGTCGCGTTAGTGTCGTGCCACTTTCACTTGAAAGCTGAAGAGAGATCGAGTAGCAAAGCGCAATGAAAAAAATTGCATACTAGTATGTGGGCAGTGGCGGATCCAGGATTTTAAACTCGGGGGGTCCCAATAATAAATTTCAAAAAAATTATAGACAAAAATAACATTAAAAAGTTAAATATAATACATTTCATTCAAAATCATACGCAAAACAACATTACAAGCTATAAAATCACAAAACAACAAATCGTCGTTTTTTCTTTGCATGCAAAGTGTATGGGAACTCATGCTTTGTAGGCCTACAAGGTCCCATTTGCAAATATGTTCTTTGAACCTCATCTTGAATATTAGAAGAATAGTCCTTCATTCGAATTCTTTTTCTTGGGTCTCTCTCAAGATTATTAAAATCAACGTCACACTCATTTTGTCTTGAGCTCGAACTACCAGAACAAATAAATGGTGCTATTGGCTTTGGAAGGAAAAATCTTTCCATATTTCTTATTTGTAAACTACATATTTAAGCAAAAACAGAAAACATATACCGATTAACCAATAAACAAAAATTCCATCTAAATTCCAATGATAAAATGAGTATACAAACATAAAACATATCAACAATCATATCAATAATAGACTAAAAATCTCCATCAATATCTAATATAATTTAATTGAGATTAGATTAGAATTCTAAAAAACTTAATTGAATTTTGAACCAAATAGTGGTGGAGTGGAGAATTAAAACAAGTGGATGTATGATATTGGACTTACGTAATTATAATATGGGATTGGGTCATGGGTGAGATTAGAAATTTAGGGTTTTGAAATGGGGGGAAAGAGGGAACCAAATAATAGGGAATTGGGGGAAAAGCAGCAGGGAAAGAGAGAACTTTGGGGAAGGGCTCAGGGGGGCTGGGCTTTAAAATTAAAGCAATATTGAGTCATCATGCATGGCAAACGACAACGTTTGTCTACCTTTTTGTTTTTTTATACTTAAAACAATGGGCCAAAACACAGCCGTTTTGGACCAATTGGTAAAAACCCCTATTTTCTTTCTTCTTCCCGCAGCGTCTTCTTCTTCACTGCTACCTGCAACTGCAACCTGCAACCTGCACAGCAGCTCAAACCTTGTGTTCGAGGGGTCCCCCGGAAATTTTCTAACAGGGATTTAGGGTCGCCGAAGGGTCCTAGGACCTCCCAGGTCCCTCTGTAGATCCGCCACTGTATGTGGGTCTAGTTAATGAGTTTTGTAAGTCTTTCTATACTCATTTCTCTTATTATTTGTCATGACTTAAGAGTCTGAGGATTTTCTCAGTGGTGAGTTTTACCTTGTTAAATCCTACATCATATGTACACATGTTATTTGTCTTTTTATTGCAAATGTGTAGGATAATCTTTCACTTATTTTCTTATAGTGAACTCTATCTTAGACATTCATCAACATATAGAGTTTACGACAGAGGACTTTTGCTACTATTATTCAGTGCATTGATTAATTTGTAAAGCGCTCATTTATCCTAATTATAAAATATAATGTGTACAAGACATTAAAAAAATGGAAGTGTCTTTCAACAGTTTGAATGTCATGTATGGCCATATCCTTTATTTCCACCATTCTTATCAACCGAATGCGGAGAGATTGTCTTTATCTCACAAACCCATAATGTGGCAATCGTCCATTAGAAAGGTAACGTACGTTTTGAAAATCGTGGCAAATATTGAATGAGTAATGATGCCTCTAAAAATAAAGTAACGAATAATCAACAGAAGTAGCAGTACATCAAGTTGGATCTTTTTCAATGTTGAAATGAAATATGAAAGTAGATCAAGTTGCTATTATTCATCCTTTTTTTTTTTTTAAATAAACAATATTGTTTACATTAAGAAGAGGAAGAAGTTAGCTAAGTCTTACAATACGCTAGCAATAATATGGTTAAAATTCGCATTTGGTAATAATCAAACCTAAGACTTCTCACGTACAAGTGAAGAAAAATTTCATTAGACCGTAACATTATTCATCCACTTTTACATAATGAATAATCAAGAAAAACATTGCACGGGTCCCCCTTACCACTAGTGGCCATCACTTCCCTGAGCAAAAGAGATCTTTCAAATGGAGGAGGATTCTTTACCTTCCTATTTCCATTCTCTTCCATTTTCTCATCTCACACATTACTTTTTATCTTATTATCTCTATAAATAAATCAATATAAAATGTTGACACACATTACTTTTTATCTTATTATCTCTATAAATAAATCAATATAAAATGTTGACGTGGTTTAACTGTGACTGTTCCAATAGAAGGAGATGGAAAAGTAGAGATATTAGGAGGGTAGAGAATCCTACTTCTTTTCCAATTGCTTGATCAAAACAAGCATTGACTTGGCCGTCCATTCATCGATAACAGGTCCACATCTCAATCCAAATATAATGACGTCAAAGGAGAGGGGAAAATGAGAAGGAAACTTTGGAGGGTAGAGGGAAGGAAAAGGAGAAAGGGAGAAAGGGAGAAAGTAGAAGGGAAAAGTAGAAAGAGAAGAAGGAAAATGAGAGGAAATTTCGGAGAATAGAGAAAATGAGAAGGAAACTTTGGAGGGTAGAGGGAAGGAAAAGTAGAAAGAGAAGAAGGAAAATGAGAGGAAATTACAAGTGCCACATTATTATGCGGTTCTATCAAGTTTTAATTTTTGTCTCATAACCACATCATTTTTAGGAAAATCAATATTGGAGTTGAATATATAAACCTTCGATATGGTGATATTGGAAACAATAGTTGGTGGGTTGATTGGTAGAAATGGTTCCAACAATTCAAGGACGAGAAATGAGCATTGAGCAACGATCAAAATATGTTGTATTTTATTACAAAAGATCTTTGTGCAATTAAAAATGCATTTTATCACAAAAACATGAGCAACGATCAATATAATTGTTATTTATAAAATCACACATAAAACAAGAAGTAATCTTTTCTTTTTCTTTTCATCCCTGCCACTAGCGGCCGACCATGACTTAATTAAAGAAACGCTTTTTGGGTTAATGGATGGGAACGACCCATTTTATAATTGTTTGTAAATTTTTCTGGAAGTAGATGTAAATGACCCAATTACATATTTCCCCTGCTCACAGACGTTTGCATTGCACCTAGCAAACACCAGTTTTTTTGTTTAAGCATCGATCCACATCAATGGCTCTTGTGAGAACATCTCCAGGAACCTCATCTGATTCCAACAATTTTCGGGGTTATCGCTACGACGTGTTCTTAAGCTTCAGAGGCGAAGACACTCGCAAGACTTTTACCGACCACCTCTACACAGCC